GGAAAATGAGCCTATTTTCAAAAATAGTAGAGTGTTCCTTTAAATCTCATTTTGTAAAAAAAAAAAAATCATGAATCAAATCGTGAAATCAAAATCGTGAGTCGAATCGTGAGTTGAGTGAATCGTTACATCCCTAGTTATTAGCCTTGTTAATGTGAAATTGCTGCATGGGTTTTTGCTCGTCTGATCACTTGCATCATAACATTCTGTTTTATAATTTCACAATCTTTGTTCTTACAAAATAAGCACTATGAAGTAGTTTTGTGCAAAAGAAAAGGGTTAGGGTTAACATAAGACTAACATAACCCTAACATAAGAGCAAGGTGAAATATATACATCTGGAAACTAAACATGGCATAAAGTTTATATGTTAGCACATGGACATACTGTATACTGAATTACTTGAATTTTAATTAAATTACATGTTATTTTATTTTACATTTTTTATTTTAATTGTTAATCTTTTAATAAAGAGTGTAACTGTATAACTGTTCATATGACTGTTTTGTTTTTGTTTTTTAGTTTTTTTACTTTTGGCCAGATTTTCCTTCTTTTTTTACTCTCAGTTTTCATCACAGTTTTCATCACAATCCAGTATCAGTCGACTTTTATTCTTTGTATTGAGTTGTGTGTGTGGTAACACATTTGATTCTTCTGCTTTGATGTCTAATTATCGGTATAAAATGCCCATGTTCTCTAGGTGGATCTTCTGAAGGTCACTGCTATTCCTTTGATGAAGAAGTTTGGGATCGATGGAGACGGTCTGGAAATAAAGGTCTGTCAGACAAAAAAAAAAACCTTTTTAAAACAAGTCCATTAATTTGGCAGCCACCTTAGTTTCCCAGTGAATGCATGAACTGATGAAGCAATGCAGTTCAAGCTGCTTTGGATAAACGCATCTGCCACGTGCATAAATGCAGTTGGGTTGTGTTGATGGTGTTTATACAGGTGCTGAAGCGAGGCATGGCTCCTGCAGGAGGAGGTGAGGTGCTCTTCACCTGTCCTGTGCGCTGCTCCATGAAACCCGTTCATCTCACGGAACCGGGAAAAATCAAGAGGATCCGAGGAACAGCGTATCCTTCCATTGATAGTAAAACCGGTCACCAGGAATTCTGATAATTCTGTCCATAGAGGCTGACACAGAGCCACAATACAAGTGAAATTTCACTAGTTTCGAAATCAGAGCCCATATTCACCAAACATTTCATCTTACCGCTAAGAGTTCTCCTAAATGGCAGTAAAACCACTTTAAACCTCTTCAGAAAGCTGCTAAGAGCAACTTTTGCTAAGGAATGGGGAGAAATCCTAATGTAAGAGAAAGGGCGGAGTTACGCTCATTACTATGGATGATGTAATCAAGCTTACTAACTATGATTGGCTGATAGGGGAGGGGTCTCGCATTTAATCAGATAAATATTGTAGGAGGAGTATCATGAGTATCAAATAAAAATGTTGCCATTTTCAAATAGAGTTTAAAATGTAGGCTAACTTTTCACAGATTTAGGACCTGGTTTTTATGGAAACCCATATTTGCCACTGAATATTAAAAAAAAAGTAATGGCAACTTTTTATCTCACAATTTACTTTTTTCTCGCAATTGCAAGTTTACATCTTGCAATTCTGATTTTTCTTACAATTGCGAGTTTAAATCACACAGTAGTGACTTTATAACTTGCGATTGTAAGTTTATATCTTGCAATTCTGAGGAAAGAAAAGTCGCATTTACCTTTTTTCCTTTATTCAGTGGCTTTATTCCTTAGCTTTTAAGGAATTCCTCCCATCATTTTTAAGATTTTCTCCAAATTCAGAAAATTAGCAGCTACTATTTGTTGTAAGATGTTTTGTGAATATGGCTCCAGTTTTTGAGGAACACTTTTTGAAGTTAACTATTAACCAGTCAAATCAAAGCAGGGTCATCTACCCCTCGAGTGTTTTTCGTTGATGTCTCTCTTCACTGGTGTTCAGTGTTGATCTTTGACCGTCGTGCGTCAGGTTCTCGGTGCGAGTTTCTCCTCAGATGGCCAACAGGATCGTGGACTCGGCCAGGAGCATCCTGAA